TCGTAGCTGTCAAATACCAAGAACACATCTCCATCTTTCAATTTTGATATATTGTTAGCTTTGAAACCTTACAAATAATCTTGGACTGTTCCCCATTCTGGCCAGCGAATGACCCACAGCAATGCTGATGCATCAATAATCAAGTCTGTTGTCTGATTATCTGTTTGATGAGAAGATACTGGTACTTGTAAAATATGTTTCATCGTGGACTTTGCCTTGCAAACTCTCATTTCTCCAGCGTCGCTGAACATGGAAGTAGGAACTGGTGCCAATTCATGAGAAAATACATGCTTGATGTCAACATCACAAGAGCTGGCCTGCAGACCAATAACACGAGAGTAGATCAAACTTGTGTTGAAAACTTTAATAGATCCAATATTGATATGCTTCTTTGCCGTATCCATTGTAATAATCTTTTTTGGAATTGTTTCATGAAAGCTGTCTGGCCATCCACTCTCAAAGCTTTCCATCCGCTTTGTTCCAATAGATACTGCATCGTGAACGTTAACTGCAGAAGGAGAAACCCTGCTGGAAATGATGTTCACAAGATCTTCAGGATGAGTTGACTGATCTTTAACACATCTTCCTCAAATTGTGTGCAAATGTGGAGACTTAATGCCAATGTCTTTAGCGTTTCAGGCCTCAGGGTAACTCCAATTATTCCCCCTTGCCCATTACCATATCTCATAAATGTTGTTTCGATCCACATGTCACTCCAGATACCGTTCCAGTAGCCAGGTATGTGTCTCATTACATGATCACCCGCAAGAAAGTGTTCTTGGATTTTGATGGGCATAGCTTCAGCGGACCTAAGATAGAACAGACCATATCTGGCATAATGTGTATGGCCAGTAGTAAAGAAGTACTGCATCATTTGTTTAACTGCTTCAAGGTGCAACGACCAGTCACCTTCCCTCTCTGCCCTCACATACATCATCATAATGAAAACAGTCTTGATGAGAAGGTCAACCCACAGCTTTGTGGTCTTGCTTTCTGAGGAGAGAGTTTGCAGTTTAAGATGAAGTTGATTGCCACTGCTGATACTGCCAGGTGCAGGCACACTTCTCAAAATCTCTTCTACCACCATACGAAGAGCTCTGACGTTCTGTGGAAATTTCTTGCCATACAGCATCTTTGGCACACCAGCAAACACATTTCCCATTACCTCTTTCAGACCACTATTTGCCATGAGTGATCCTACAAAGCTCATCAGTAGGTGCATACCTCCTAGTCGTAGAACAATATTGGAGAATCTATCCCATACACCCACATCACAAGAAGGGCAACTCTGTAAAGTTGTTGATCACAGGTGAATACGGTAATCTCTTGACCTGTCATTAGAGTCAGACGCTGAGCCTCAACTAAGTAAGTCATCATGGTATCAGGGTGTGATGGAGTCATGTCTATGAGTGGTTGGTATGTACAAGAGGTGCTTGGTTTCAAGGCTCCACCATTTTCCCAAGAGAATCGGGTGTTGTATCCATTGAATTCTGGGCACACATCTGTTGTAACTGCATCCTTTAGGAAGAGAAAATCCTTCTCCTTAGCTTCATTTGATGACACAACACGTTGGCACAATACCTGTCTTGCAGTTTCAGGCATTGCCAGCTTCTCAGGACGATGATAGCGAGTAATGACAGGCTCAGAGTCAATGGGCCCTGGCATATCTTCCTTTCTAATTCGCGTGATAAGAGCTTTGTTGTCAGATGAGTTAACAGATCCATTGTCAGTTGTTCCTGTCTGTGCTATGACCATTGCTAGGGAGTGTGTTAACTGCTTTCCATTTTGTGATGAAATATCTGCATCAAAGTTAGCAACAACAACTTGAGTGAAACATGCATCACCATTGCTGATGCCTGATAATTCAGTCATGTGCAGCAGCGTGGACAGCTGACTTCTTGAACCTGAGAACTTCATCATGGGAACAAACTACTTGAAAATTGTGCATTAACTGGATCATATCTTTGGAATGGCGCAACTTCATGCCAAGTCCAATCTGTAAGTCAGTAGGGGTGTGCTTCAAGATTCCAGTTACCATATTACCCATCAATAGAGATGAAGGGGTGTGATCAAGGTTTGATGATAAGGAGGCAAAGAGTTCCATTAGGTTTTGCTAGTAGCCTGCTCCGCATCTGATAATGTGAGTCGTGTTTTATAATGCTCTCTGTCTGTTGCAATCTGTTTGGTCTCCTGCTTAATCTGCTTTGACAACTTGGTAATAGAATTTTGAAGATCATCATTTTCATCTGGTTCCAATTGTAGAACAGAGGAAGCTGCTGTTTGAAATGCAATAACATTGGCATATCCAGGAGAGGACAATACTAGGAGTTCTCGACTGAATTGCTGGGCTTGTTTCTGAATCAAAGTTTTTCGACACATTTTGCTACCTCCATTGTCTGCGTATAGTTTATGCAACTCCACCGAGCTCCACTGTTTCATCTGACACAACAGCATTAACAAGTTTCTTGTATGGTTCATCAAGGTCATCTCCAGAAAACTGAGAAGAATATTTTGCTCTAGCCACTGCCCTTTCTCCCATAAATCTACCACAGTCAACGTGATACATTGCATCCGCAGCATGTAGATCACTCACAGCTCCTTCAATCTGTATCCTTACTTGAGAAACCAACTCATTGTGTCTTTTGTCACATGTATCACTGATAACCTCCTTGAGAGACTTTTTTTCTAATTTGTATTCCAACTGGCGAAACAAATATGCTGGCCTCCATTGATTTGGATGCTTTTTATCCTATATCAAAGTACAGTCTTCTCCACAAAATACACAATGTTGCAGAAGGTCAAACTCAGAACTGTAAGATCGACGAGCACGCTTTACATTTTGTTCATTCAATTCACTACCAACAGACCGTTTGGTAACTCTCTTCAAATGGATTTTTGATGTATATGTTGACACACAACCTCTATGACACTGTACTTGGACACTGGCATCATTGTCCAAGTTCCTTTGTAGCTCTAAATGCTTTCCATCAGCGTAGTGTTTGCTGTAGCTGATAATAGTCTATATTCTCCGAGGTCCAGCAGCAGACCTCGGGCAAAGAATTGGTCCCACTGCTGAGATATCAAGTTCGAGCTTTGAGGCAGCCATTGAAAGGGACCGGTCATTAATTGTTCAATTCTTTTTTTAAAAAAAGTTGGTCCAGTCTTTTTTGGCCAAGTTTGTTTTGGTGGGAATTTCTTAAAAGTATTTAACACATTAAAGCACAAACATGTGTATAACAGACATAATAGGTTTTGCTTTATTTGCACCTCTTTTGAGGTTACTATTATTTTTATTTATTTTTATTGTTTTTTATAATTTGATTTCAACATGAAGTGGGAATTTATCTTATTTTGTATCTATAGTACATTAATAATCGTTAGAAAATCCACAAGCATCCCATTTGACACTGAATAATATAATAACAAATGTATTATACTATATATAACGATATAGACCATGTTGCCTATTATCTTGATTAATTACATTTCCAAATGAAACTATTTCATTAAGAATAACATATTCTGATATGTTGAAGGCAAAACAATAGTGATATGCATCAAAAGTAGTCCCATATTAAATACAATTAGCACGGAAGAGATATTTTCATGTTTTAGTGGCCATTTTGGTGGCCATCTTGAATATTTTAAAATGCCCAAAGATGACAGAGTGTCATCAGTCATTTTCATAACCTAGAATGTGTACTTAAACCAATCCAGCAATAACAAATACTTTCATTAAATCTACAGGTAACCTAGCTCTACATTGAAAACATGGTATGTTTATATTCCTAAATGACAGAAAAGTTGTGTCAGAAATTGTGGAGACTCATTTTTAAAATTATGTGGGGACCCATTGACATGAGAGAAAATGATACATTTGTATTATTTAAATTTTGACATTCATAAGTATTCATAGTAAACCCCATCTTTTGCTTCATATGACAAAAAACCAAACACACCAAATGTTGCACATTTTGTCTGCACCCGACCCCGAAACTTATGAATCACATCTCATAGTGTATTCGTTGCAGCCCAACTATATATACAACCTTCTGAAAAAAGATGTGTCTTTCGAATGGTCCAACAATTGCCAACAGGCAATCAAACAGCTAAAGAAAGCCCTTTACAGCAGCCCCATCCTTGCATATATATATATATATATATATACTGACCATCTCATGGCATAACTTGTAATGTTGTTAATTCTCGTCTTTTGACAATGCAATTTCATTTAAGTATCTTTCAGTCATATCAAAGTGAGACAAGCTGACCATAACCTTGTCCAAGGATACAGCACAGTGACTTGAATGATATGGCTTCTTGAAATGGAAGATTTGAAATGATTATTAATAACCATATAAGGGATACTGACATATTGTCTCTCATGGTGATTTCTCTCTTTCAAAGATAATGGCTTTGCGCACGAAATACTCTGTATTGATTGGGATGGCGATATTACGGTCACGACCCCAAGACAGCCCATCCCCCGATAGAAATCAAATGATCCGCCCCTTCGAATGTGATTTAGGCCTAAATTAAAAAAGGAGTCCAGCTCAAGTCTAGCATGATTTGGCAATCACGATTCCCTCATTTCTAAATTAAGAATTGTTCTGGGATCCATTTGGATTGTATTATTTTTATTTGGTAGATACATACTTTCAAATGCGATCACGTTATTTATGGGACAAAATCTAGATCTAAATGTCAGTCTACGCGGGCATCGACTGACGACGCCATTGGCGAACTTTGAAAAACGTAGATCCAGTAAAATACATAATATAAGAAGTGCAGGTGATTTTGCTCTCATTAACTGTCAGTTGATTAACTACAGTGTTGCAAAGTATAATTCTCTATAATGTTTATCCCAGTGCTGGTCGTATCACATTTCCTGGTCGCTTCCAAGTGGCAACAGACGGTAATAAGCGAAGGAGCCTTTGCACCCTGAGGGTTAAAGGGAGACAATCGTGACTTGATTAATGTTGCACATGCGCAAAGCTCTGTTATTAAAGAGACTGGCGGCGAATATTTGCCACATGAATATATGATTTTAATGGGTAAGAGCATTTTCATTAATTGTTTCGTAATATTTGCAAAACAATCATACGTTCATGTGAAAAACAATATGTCTTTGGCTGCATATTTTTAGGTGAGGTAATAATGCTGGAATATCAATGAACGAGTAAAAGTGCCCTATGCTATGGATAACTTAGAAATGTGAAACCCCGTTTCGGTTGTCGTTTCCGGATAATGATTCATGCGAGCGACGGAGACTTTAGTCACCGAGCGATAATTTTCCAACAGCTGTATCGTGTGTAGGCATAGTCCAGTCAAGGAAGCTACGGAAACAGCTCATAGTTTTCAAGGAACAAGGCATCATCGTGTTTTCAGCGGTTTGTGCACTCAGCCATCGGTGACGGGGCCGACCAAGCCCGACCAAACGATTGCTACAAAGGCTAGATCTACTCGGTGTGGATAACAAGGCCTATATATACGATTTATAAAGACTTTTGGGAGGCATACCTGGATTATAAACACAGCTCGGGAATTGGCTTAAAACTGTTGGATAAATATGTCAGCAGTAGAAAGTAAGTCCCTTTGTTACATGTTGTAACCTTTCGTTAGGAGTATTGCCTAGAAGGCAAGGTAAAACCATCTTGTTCCCAAGATGAAAGATATCTTTGTCCTCAGAATTGATGTTTGAATGAATTGGATGCCAAGTTCTTAATGATGATGAAATTTCAGTTTTGGTTAATGCCTTTTTGCTCTCTCTCCAGCCCAATGAAATGTGACATGAACTAAACACCTGTCAATTGCTGAGTTTGAAATTCATTTTAGTGTTTGTGGGCATAGTGTAAATTATTACATAGAGTTAGGAATGGAATTTTGAATGGGACAATTTGAACATACCCTATTTATAAACAAGTCTCCAGTATAATAGACTAAGACAGTTTATAAACAGCTGTCACCGATATATATATGTATGGCAGATAAGCTATGGGACATGGGCATCAGCTTCTCTCCTCAGCCATTACCCACACCAGTGGTTTAGGGAAAGGAGACATACCTAGACAAGGAAATAGTTTATACAGTACAGTAACCTAATGAGGCACAACATAATATGTGAAGAACCAAATATATATCTGTTCTGTTTTGATATTTATCGTGTTTATTATCATAAAAAAGGCTATCTATCCAGTATTGCAATTGTTACAGAGTAGACTTGCACATGTCACTACAGCAATGGGTGTAGCTGTTTACAAACCGTCAGTTCGATTCAGTTATTATATCAGTAAAGGGTCAATATAACACAGTTTGGTTTCAGTGTGAGATGAGTATATTCCACTGTGTCTCATTCAAAATTCTATTCCAGTTCATCAATCCATACCCCATTCCAAACTTTACACTGTGCCAAGTTTGTGGGCTTATGGTTTCCAGTAATGGAGTGGTGTTTTCACTATTTTTATATAATAACAAGTTTGTCGGATTAGAGATGGACCAAGGATAAACGGTTTGTCATTGGACATGTTTGATCCTGGCACGATTTAAGAATAAGATTTGACTCCCGGGGGACATATACCTGTGGGCCACCCCATGTCCTTTCATTGCTAAGAGACATGATCATGGATTTGAGAGTCAAAAATGACCCTCAAGAGTCCAGAAGCTGGGATAGTTCACTGAGAGCGAAGCTAGGTCCAAGTGAAATAAGGTGCAAGCAAGCCTATCATCTCTCTATCCGTAAACATTCTCACGTCTTCTCAAAACTGGCACTGCAGATGAATCTGAATTTTAAAATTAAAATAATTGGATATATTTTATTTTAGAACTAACTAAAAAAGAAACCACACGATCTTGAAATCTGAAACTTTTATATGAATCTGAATTTTAGCTGGAACTTCATGAAGATGTGTTGTAAGACCATAATTCAGTTTGAATTTGTTTATGGCTTAGTAATGAAAATATAATATTAAATTTTGGATATTTTTTATGCCATTATCACTACAATTGATGCAGATAATTCCATTGGGAATAACATTAAGCTTTTATCTTGAAGTTAAAAAGAATATCTAATTTTCAAGCAGATCACTGGTGTTGGAGCTTAAACTTTGTGTAGATGTCATGATATTGATTAATTTTGTTGGTGCGCCATCCTATGTATGCACTCAACTTTGGCCATTTTCCTGTTATCCATCATTCAGTCATAATTACATGACAGTATATAGCAACTCTTTCCCATCTTGAGGACTAAAGATTTCATGTTTGACATTTAGCTTGAAACCTATGAAGATCCAGGGTGGAATAGGTCTTCAGCAACCCATGCTTGCCGTAAAAGCCAACTATGCTTGTTGTGAGAGGCGACTAACAGAATAGGAGGGTCAGACTCGCTGACTTGGTTGATGCATGTCATCGAACCCAATTGCGTGGATAGATGTGCATGATGCCAATCACTGGATTGTCTGGTCCAGACTTGATTATTTACAGACTGCCGTCATATAGCTTGAATATTGCTGAGTGCGGCGTTAAACAACAAACAAACAAAAACATTTAACTTGAATGTACCTTGTGAATGAAATTGCCCTCATTGTTATTTTACCAATCCTACCAACCTTTGAAATTTATACAGTTAACTCAGCTACATTTTTAACTCAAGGTTTAACATTGGTTCTTTTTCTGGGGTGCTAAGTCATTGTCTGATACATGATAGTCAGCCAAAATGTCTAAAAGGTATTAACATTTTTTTTTTCTGTTGGTGTACAAGAATGTCCTTACGAACATGTGCTAAGATCATGAAAATGTCCTTATCACAATTGTCACTGTTAACATGGTGAACATGGTTTATCACAAATTTCAACACTTATGCAAGTTAAGGACATGGATATTATTGTTTCTAAGGCGTGGCAGTTTTGATGGTTGAATGTGGTAGCAGAAAATCTTGGTGCAACACTGCTTTAACTATTCGCACACTGCGTTAAATATGGTATTATAAATGAGGTAATTTCCAGCCTGCTATTGCTGGCATAATCTGGGAAGCTGAACAAAGAATCTGCCCTGGTATAGCTGCAGCTCCAACAGATGTTCCAGTTGATAGGCCTTGCTTCCATCACTACAGGCTTGCCTGACACGTGGCCAATGGATTACCTCTTTTGCTTGCCATTCTAGAGTTACCAAGTGTGAATGCTATCAGTGTTACTAAGAATGATAAATGCATGATGGAGAGATTTTAGTTCGATTATGTTGATGTTTGTGAGAAATACATACAGGGTTTTACACCATGCACAAATGTTGTGAATGGATGCAGAAAAAAGTATGTACTGCACCCTGAGGGACGCACAATAAAATTCATTGCACCTACAGTGCATCAAGATCAGTTATGGGCGTCATTTCAAACATCAATCATGGCCACTGTCCACATGATCATTGATTCATTTCAGGCTCTATAGTAATTATCAAAACTTACCATGCTTACTGTAAGCTACACCATTTCATTACTTTACAGAACTTTCATATTGCCTGCAAGGACCCTTAAAATCTATCAGGGGGGTCCCCTGGAACACTACTTTTGTAAGTCAAGGTAAATCCCTGAATCAGAGACCATCTCTGCCTGCATGTAGAAATCAAAGAACGTTTTGGTAATAATTGGCTTCTAGTCCAGAGCTCCAGATAAGCTTTTGGTGTTGTGGGTATTTTACGCATGCATTTTAAAATCATTGGGTATCAGTAATTCTATCTGGGTATTCAAATTTCTGTTACCCACTAGTTTTTACACATGTGGGTATTTAAGTTAAATATTTAACTATTCATCTAGTCCCTGCAAACTGGTGTCGTGTGGGTTAGAGAGCTTTATAGGACTCAACAATACCACGATACTTCCACAAGAAAGTGTGATGGCAAATGATCATGATGTAACTGTCATCGTGGAGTTTGGCTAGGTTGATGGAATGCCCGTTTATAATTTCAAAATAAGTTGCTGATTCGCTAATCGAATACGCAGGGTTACTTCACCATATTTTGATGATACGCACAAGTGTTATTTTTGTAGCGTATCTGTAATGTTCGTTGCGTATTTGATACGCTTGGATTTTATTTTACTGCATATTTCTGCATTTCTGATGCGTAATTTACGCAGATAAGCAGCCTATCTGTAGCTCTGTAGTCATTAACATTTGCCATTGTTCTTTCTCATTTCATATGATTCCTGATGGATGTACTTGTGGATAAATCAACTGTGACAATAGCTTCGGTAAGTGTTATGATTCCTCCTTGAAGTTGATTTGGAGAAGAGTTTGTCCTTTGACAACAGAGTTAACAGCCTGTTGCATACATTATCATGATTGTGGTAATGACTAGCCTAGTCAGTCTTTGTTGCAGGAAAGGAATTAGTTATTATATTTTATAGCAATTTATAATCTGGAAAAATGTAATTCCAATTTTGTAATTCTTACAGACATTTAAGCAACCAATTGATCAGTCAATACATATGTCACCAGTGACAGTTGTCAAATGTAAATAGATGTCCGTTATTTAGTTCTTTTCATTTTTTGGTAAAAATATGTTCTATTTTATGTGATTAATGGTTCCTTTTTATTAGAAATTCCCTTTCAATAATGCCAGTTATTTCATTTCTACCATAACGGGCAAGGGTTAAGAGATATGTTTGTCTCAGTGACAGGTGATGCGTAACCGACAGGGATACTTTCATCAACATAAGGCACATTTTATGAATTGACAATGCTGTTGTAATGAAATCTGAAAAAATTTCAAATGAGTCCGATCTGTTTTGATGAATTTTAAGCTCATTTAACTTAAAGTCCGATGAGCTTATGTCATGGCTTTGTTGTTCACTGTTGGCATCGATGTCGTCTGTATACATCTCTCCAGAATTCACTCTTCCAATGAAGCTGAAACTTCACATTTGTTCCAGTCAATAACAAAACAGGTACTTGTTCAAGAGGTTCAAATCAGATTTTCAATATGGCCACCACAGAAACACCCATTTATCATGTTTTGGGTCATTACGATGTCATTAAAATGTAATGAAATGTGGAAGGTATGTAGTCAGAACTGGGGCTCAACTTATATTATTTGTGGTCTTTTTAACTTTTATCTTAGCATTTAGACCATATAGAAAGCCAAAACTTCTTATGTCTATGACTTTTAATTCAAAATGTAATGAAGTTTGATATATGTCTAGTTAGCAAGGTTAGTAGCATTTCTCAACACATTTTTCTCTATGTGTTAAGTTTGGACCATTATTTGACCTTTGCTGTTTAAAAGTCCAGTTTCCACCCTTGCCAAACCAGGCTGGAATTCCTGTGCTTCATCGTAGTGCCATCAGTGGCTATTACGAGTGATGTCCCTTCTAAGCCTCTTCTATGGAACAATCAGATTCCACCTCTCGTATCACTTGCATTTGCTTCAAACAAAACAGTCAAGATGATCTGATGGATAATCAAGGTCTATGTTGTGATAAAACGGGTCTTACATCTCGAAATGCATCAAATCATGTGAGCACCTTGATTAAAAACATGAAAAGATTTGGAAAATATCTGTTGACAACGAGTTGGCGGTGCACATGCTTTACAAATTCTGCAATTGACCGAAATCTGCAAGACAGTTTACGAACCGGATTTCGATTTTGTTGCGCAATTATAATTGGACTATGCATAGACTCGTTAGTCCAGCCAAAATGTTACTCCATAATACTAGCCTAGTTCGGCAAGGGTAGAAACTGAACTTTTAGAAACTGAACTCTCTTGCCTCGGGAAGATGTTTTTAACCATGCTCCTTTAAAGTATAACATTCTCTTAAAATGCATTTCTTTGCACTACAGACAACCTATGAAGCAATGAAACTGAAACTTCACATACTGTGTTTCCGTCATAGATGACATCTGAATTTGTTTAAGAGGACTGAATCAAATTTTCGATGTGGTCACCATGGCAGCTGTTTTGAAAAAGCTTTTTAAGATACTGTGCTGAAAGACAAAAGGTGTCGACTGCACTTTGTGATAAAGTATGCATTTTGAGTTACGTCATAATGGGCTGATGTCATGATGTCATTACCCCCATTGTGATCTAACATATCCTTGGTAACATTGTTCTGTCAATGCTGTCAAAGCAAGATGGCACGTCCACATCAATTATCGATCGGTGAAGTTGTTTCTTTCAACTTATTGAACAACTGTATTACCTGGGAAGAAAGGTAGCGAAATGCTGTCAAATCTCTCTTTCCATTGTGTTTTTTCAAACATATTCAAACCACTGTGTCCGTGCGAAAGCAGTCACAAAGTTGTCCGAAGCATGTGTTGATGCCAACAGATTTATGACTATCTCTGGTAGTGGCGGGGCAATACGTCAATGCATCGGTGGATTGCAGTTTTTAACTTTAAGTATCGATCACAGCCTTACACTAAGTAAAAAATATTGATTCTGACTTTAAATGTTTGCTTTAATAACTGTTCCTCTAAACACTTATCAGTATTGCAAGTTAATAGTGAAAACATACATATTTTCACACATATTTGAAGTGCCACACTTCATACTGCCTACTGTAAATCATCTGTGTGCCAAGTATTTGGCCATCCTCTCTATGAAAAAGATGGCTTATGCACCACAGATAAGAGCACATGCAAGTATCGTGATACATATCGGATCGTGCATAAAGTATCGTGATGCATATTGGATCGCACAGTTGGTGTATTGTCCCAGCCCTAATCTCTGGACACAAACATGATCATTCCTTGAAGAGTTTCACAACCACATGTACATCTGTTTCTCAGTGTAAGGCATTTAGCAACATACTGCAGACAAAACAACCGCTATTGCTTTTCCTCTGCCATGTTCGTCCCACGACAACGCCGTATCACGCTCCATGCGGGCTGTAGACTCGTGTCAGTGGCGGTATCATGTAGTGCAACAAACTTTGTAAGGATACTATTATTACTATTACATGGCTTGCAGTTGCTGCTGTCTGCTGACACAAGTGGTGGAAATGAAGTTGCAATTTTTACGACAGTTTTATCCAATGGTTGATGAACATGGCCATGAGTGACAAGGGCACATCTCCATGAAATCTTTTGGCGCAGAATCTTGTTCAGTTCACAGTAACCAGCGACACAGAACTTTGGTTATGTTTGGGTTAACTCGGCCCCACTTGTTTCAAGTAACATGATTAAATGTGTCATGAATATTTTGTATACTCTGTTGAGTATCAATCATCTAACTGTTTTATCCTATGGTTGATTAACATGGCCATGAGTGACAAGGGCACATACCCATGAAATCTTTTTGGTGCAGAATCTTGTTCAATAATTCAAAATGTCTGACAGGTAAGGGGCCAAACGGGTTTAATCAGATGATAAGTGTGGTATCTCTTTGTGTCAACATTGTTCTACATCATATTACTACCGTGGATAATACAAAGAAATTGGGGGCGGTCGGGTAGCCTAGTGGTTTAAGCGTTCGCTCGTCACACCTAAGACCCAGGTTCGATTCCCGACATGGGCACAATGTGTGAAGCCCCTTCCTGGTGTTCCCTGCCATGATATTGCTGGAATATTGCAAAAAGCGGCGTTAAACCTCACTCACTCACTACTAGAACGTTGTTACAATGCTCGATTTAGCTATGTATATAAAACAAGCACAAGTGCAACCAATTATTGGAAAATGCATTATGTTAAAATATTTCAAATTAGTGACTTTGAACACGATCAGTACCTCTAATTAGGAGATAAACATATTGAGTTTTTAAGATAGAGCTAGGTTACCTGTAGATTTAACACGCTAAATTGAATTTGGAACTGAACACGCAGTCGTTGCATAACCAATCTGCGACGGAGCATTGAATACTGGATCCTTGCCTAGACTGGTATCTTCTCCTGCTAGCGGATGCACAAAGCTTATAATGGCCCCACACTGTCTTTGCTTCCCACTATATACTCTGGTTTTCAACATCAGTCGTTTTGGCGGTGTCCAGAACCCTTACCTGATCACCTCTGCTCTATGCACATGATGTCTCGGTTTTGGTTTGATGATCCTTGTCGGTCGTTCCTCTTTTCGTCTTAGCATGCTTCAATCACTCGGGCATGATTGATAGCTTTTACAAAGTGTTAAAGAGACGACAAGCTTGCTCACCCTATTGTCTGTAAGAGTGGTGTGGTCAGTCTTGTAGTACTGATTGCCTGGAAACCCTTTCCGGATTGGTTGTAAGTCATATGCTGAATATATGCTTTCAAAGCTACTCGATCATTCATGTAATGATGTCCAACATGAAAACATGTAACACATGTTATACCCGATTTCATATTGTTACATCCGACTAAAGGGGTTGCATCACCTGTTATGGTGTTTTTTTATTTACTCACGAGTTCTCGTCTTTATGACACTAGGCAGTGATATGGCTTCATTTATGTGTATCACTGTTTTGCACCAGCTTCCTCATGTATGTCTCATGGTTGTAGCCTCTATGGGCTAGGCTATCTGCGCCTTGCCTTCTAACCGTGGGATAAATGCATAGTGTCGAATTGGATAAGTTTAAAAAAATTGTAATTTTTGCATTAAATTGTATATTTATTATATACTTATCCTGTCTCACATGCTATAAGCCCACCAAGCCATCCCCACATCACAGCTTCTCTAGCCTGTCTGCTGTAACAAAGAGAATGATTTTGCAGGGGTAGTCTGGTGATCCGGATGTGTAAGCTCACAACACACAGGATTACAGTGCGCAACCCATTAGTTAGGGTGGTGACCATGGTGATGCTGTGATGTGTTCGAATGGATAGTTTTTAGAAGCTGGAAACTTTGTTCAACCTGTTTTCCGCGTAAGGATTGAAAGAAGAAATGTATTATGTGACATAGGGTGAATATATAAATATACAATTTAATGTAAACTTTATTTTTAAACTTGATTTTGTTCAAATTTTGTATGTGTGTGTAGACCGCTGAGTTCTAGATTCCGTCAAAATCCCAAAGCTGTAGGCTCAAAGGCCAAGGGCAGATAACTGAAAAACAAGTATTTTTTAAAGATATATTTTGCCCTATTGCTCCGCAACCGCTTGTCCGATTACTTTGAAAACTTGCATGTATCTGCTGCTTTAGTTACTTGACATTTATTGTTCTTTGACTTTGGTCATTGGTCACGTGGTTTGGCAGCCATATTGGATTCAAGGTTTTCACAGTGTCTTTTGGGTACCTGTCTTCAAATGCAAACAACTTCGAATCCACTGCATGAAATGTTTCC